TCGATGGAAAAACATTTATTCATCTTCAAAATATTATTTGACGGCCTCAAAATCCAAATTAGGGCACACTGTTTTTAAAATTGGGCATTTTCGATTGTCCTTCATTGCAATCTGTACGCCTTCAGTTTTAGCATAGTTTGTTTGTAGTGAATCGGCCATTAACTCGGTCGCAGCATTCTCCGCCACACTGACATCCTTTTCACGGCTTCCCTATCGACCTTGCGAAACCGTCCTCTTGCACACCCCTGTGCATGTACCACACCTAGCGGGGGTTGTATTGGTCAACAACTCTCATTACTTTTGACCCGATTTTATGCACTGTGGTGCAACAAGCACAATTTGATTGAACTACCTAGTAAATGGTTGTCGTTGCCATGCCTACTCTTCTCCTGGTCTTTGGTGGCATCGGTGCAGAGTATTTGGGCCAATTCAATGCAACGGCCCCGAGGTGGTTTAGGACCACACGCCGGAGCCCTCAACCTCCGCTTGAGGTTCATTGCAGTGGACAACACGTTGTTAGCCTTCACTAATCATTCATGCTCATAAACCATCCATTTCAACTACTGTTTCACAGGTGACATTGTTACGTTAAAGTGGACTCAAGCACTGACTGCAGAAATGGCAGTAAAGTCCAGGCATTCAGGTTAAATTCTCACTCACATTGTCGGCACCCATTGAGACGAAATTTATCGAGTAATCTGATTTGCAAAGACCTGATACTATGTTAATTTAAAGTCTTTACTTTAATGACTTCCGATGCATTTTCCGTTTGTGGTCAAGTTAATGCATGTTGCAGTTCAGCCCTGCAACCGGCGTCAATCGTTTCGTTCTCGTGAGTGTGGAAATGCGATACATTCCAAATGAAGAAATGCTGATAAATACATAGGTGTAATATATGCGTAATGAAACAGTAAAATGAGTACTGCAACGTGACGGTCAAAGAAAGGCATGATCCTGTATTAATCCCTTCCCGTGAAATTCCATCTTGGCTTTTTGTGTCAAAATCTCATTAAAATGGGGGTTAAATTATAAATTGGTGGGTTCAAGTACCTAACTTGTCATAGCATCAGAATTATCAAATCCGGGTCTTATGTACTACTCATTTTTGTTACAGTCCGAAACTTATTCATCCAGGATAGATTAGAACATCACCTTGCAAAAGTGGTGCACAAAGTTCCTTGGGTACAAGTAGGAGTCATTCACTCCGAAACCTCACTCACACAAAATACAGAGCTCCAAGTAGCATACGCGGTTTCCGGGCCACTTTGGAATTGCCCTCGCTTCTCTGGATCTCTCATAGCGGCCTATTTGTCTGTAATTCGCTAGAAACGAGTTCAGGATCATGAAATCCTAATTTACGAAAAGGGAAGTAGCTTTTGGCCATAAATACTATATTCAAGCCTTTCCCAATATCGAAAGTTCAGACAAAATTGCGCTAGGCAAAATCTATCAAGAAATTCTAGTGTGCAAGCAAAGTGTGCAGTAATTTAAAAGAAATGAATTCTTACAACATGTAGAAGGTAATTGCAGACCCTTTTCGGTAGTCCTTTTAAGACTACGAAGAAATGTGTTAATTCGAATCTGGAAGTCACAAAACCACTAACAATAGTTTTGTAGTTTTTTTTTGATCCAATGACCTAGACTGCTTGCCCCTGAACTTTCTCGTACACTCATTCTATACCACAAGATTTATTTCATAGAGTCTTTGAAGTCATTCCTACATTCAAAGACTGTTTACCACAAGTTTGTAACTAAAACAGGTTTTCACTAAACAGTTTTGTAGGTGGATAAGATGAAAGTTTGTTATTGAGCAAAATTCTCCGATTCTGGGAAGGTAACAAATGTTAGCAGCAAAGTAACCAAGGGAAATGATGAACTAAGAAATCGCTTTTCTGTTATTTGTATCGCTTTAATCACAAATTCTAGCAGAGCCACAGATAGCCCAATTGAGTCCTTTACGAGTAGACGAGGAGCTGAGAGGTCCTGAAATCACAAACTACTGTTATAAATTCAGTGAAGTGCATTGTTAAGCCACGTTGACAGATGTGATCGTGAAAGCCCTCTGAGGTTTCACTGCGCAACACCTATTGAGTCAGCTCGAGAGTATTGTAAGCTCTTAGCTGTCAGACGATAAGGCTGCGCCAGGTAGCTCCACCTACCAACGCTTCTAATTTAATTCGAGTTAACAGCACTCAAAGCAAAATCAGGACTAGATCAGCTTCGGAGCTTAGAAATTTGCTTTTACACAACCGTACAAGGACACCACGTACAGAGACACAGGAATAACCTGGCTTCTCTGGGTTAATTAAGATGAACATTTATTCAAGTGAGGAAAGGGAAGCCCCTCCGTAAAGGAATAATTTCTGAACACCTCTTGGAATAAGTTGGTATTGCAGGGGTTTTAAAATCGACATGAACTCTTCGTCCATAAAACAGTTTTTGTCATTTCAAAGCGATTAATTTGATTTCTGAAATTAATTCGTTGCGTAATAAATTTGGATAAATGAAACACAAAACAGACAAGGATTGTGGGAATGGCAAAGGGAACTTATTTTGTTAGAGTAAGGCAAATAACCTGGTCTTCCATACTGAGATCGTCTGGCACTTAAATATCTCGATGTTGATTGACTTTAACTCCTTCCACAAGAGAAGGTTCCTAAGGAAAGTGCCTCAGAGCTGAAAGTGTTTGAGACGTAAGGGATTCCAAAAGTAAAAGGGTGGATAAGGGATCACTTTAGTAATTCTCTCCAGCCCAATCTCTAAAAAAATCTTCAGTTCACCCACTAAAGCAAGTAACTTTAGTTAAGTGTGTCATTCGCCGTGAACTAATAAATCAAACCAAGGCAGCCAGGCTCTATGTGAAGAGTGGCACTGGAGTGGAGCTGTGGCAAGTCACATTTCAATCCAAAGAACTCATGAAGAAAGAAGACAATAAGAATGTAACACGACGCTGTGGACACAAGCATTAGTTCAACCTCTAGTCTCTGGACGAGCAGGCGAGTTAATAGAGACCAATGAACGGCAGGGGTAAGTCTCAAGTTCTAATCACCCTGAAAGGACAAGTTTCCGTTGACAATATATTACAATGGTGCTTTAGATCTTCAGAACGCATCATCTCCGCACGCACACACACACACACATAATTTGGTTGCCTCATTTAACGGGCAATCGAGTCCCTATTGCCTTTGCGATCTCGTTCCCCACGGAGTGTGAGCATGTCCTACTCAGGCTTCTTACCACACACACACCTCATACTATGAAACACTCAAACTCATTGGTCGTTCGTTGTACCGTGAGATCGGTGAAGATACAGCACCTATTAACGGCAAAATAACTTTACACTTGGGCATTTGTCATAAAATTTGTAAAGAAATTATTCGGAAGTAAAATAAATACATGATTAGACGCCACAATTGTGTGACTTTGATGCGTAATTTTTGAACTCCCACCAGGAGACCCCCTCTTTTACTTTCAAGCTTCTTGTTTTTTTAAATGCTGTCCTATGCCCGGAAACCGTCCTCATGTGTTGAAGGCCCCGCATGTGGTCTCAAACCGTCCCAGGGCGGCTGCATTTTCCAAAACCGTAAAAGTACAAATGCCTGCGTGGCCAGATGAATGAAACGGGTAGTGCGGAAGAGGTACACGCAGCGTAGGCGTGTCTGCACAGACGGTTTCGCAAGATCGTTAGGGGCGCGGTAAAAAAGTCAGAGTGGTGGGGAATGAGATGACCGGGTTAATGGACGCGAATCAGCACGATTCACCGCACCTGTTTGCAGGCACCACGTTTTGGGTGTAACGGGAATCTGTAGGCTCATTTTAGATGACTCGGTAATCACTCAGGAAAAAGTATAACCAATATGACTTAAAAATGAAATATAACTTGGATTAAGTAGTTTCCCGTGGATTTTAGTCGATTTTACCAAAGAAACAGGGGCGGTGCTATGCGTGTTAGGCGAGTTCTCCCAGTTGTGGGCTCAAGCACGTGGTCTTAACCCTGGCCCGATTACGCTTCCCTGATAACTTTTACCTCAGAGCTCAACCACGTGGGTGTCGTGTGTGGGGTTTGCGCGTGTGTATTTACACCTCAGCTGCGTGAGTCATGCATGCACTAACATCAAGACCTAGGTGTGAGGATAATCCAAGATAAAAATATTCGTGCGAATGAGGGGGGAGTTGAGGATCCGCGTGGCTGGCGACATGCTGCGAAAAGAGGGTCTCTGTGTCGGAAGATGGAGCGACCGGATTAAGGAGTGTGTATAAACACAATGCACTGCATCCCTTTCCATCGCGTTTTGCACTCTATGGTCTCCAAACTGTGGTTCCGTTCTCACCTTTGAAATGTTGATTGCCTTCGGGACTTCGTAACAAGATAATGCTGATTAGTGGTCTCTTGACTGTACTATCACCTTTCGGGGAGCTACAAATTGTCAGCGTATCCTTAAATTTCGACAATTTTACTCCTGGCAAAATTTTCACTGAAGTATTTTGCGTGTTGAATACAGGCAGACTTTTGGCTTCTAGCTCCCAAAACCGAATGTCAGAGCAATATGCCTTTTGTCTTGCAACGTAAAGCGTCGGAATCCAATCCTAGGCCTTTACTCATTTATTTCTTCAGCAGGGTATTTGAAAAATTCAGGGTTTGCAACCGACCACGTCTGTGGGAGGAGCGTTTAACTAATCTGTGATGTCATGAACTAGAAAAGAATCCACGTAACTTTTAGATTCATCCACGGCAATAATTCTTAGCAGGACTGGCCTATGAGCTGTTAGGCAATCAGCTTACTCGATATTTTTATTCACTAGAGTTAATTTTAAGACCCGGACACATGAACCGCTGGGGCACTATCACCTTCGGTTGAAGGTGACAAAATCATTCATATCTTCGGCACGCGGCGTCAATAAACGCAGGAAGCTTAAGTGATAGCAAGCAATCAATGAAGATATATTTGAACTAGAATCAGAAAATTTCATTATCAATATAATAAAATCAAAGAAGGCGTTTAGTTCATATGCACCATTGGAGTCCTCTTTTGTCTGTTGGGCCATTGAGTCATGAAGGGAGACAGCGATTCGACAAAGTCCCGAATCCCCTTCATGGCCTCTCGAGCGGCTCTCCTCGAAACTGGATTCCGCCATGCCTCATTCAAAATCCCAACCAGTAGACTTTCACGCATAGTGAAACTCAGCAGACGTCGTCTCGACCAGTAGGTATACGCGAAAGCCACCAGATAGGGCCACCGCGCAATCAGAAGCTGTGATTTTGCCTTTGGGCCACACTTCAGTATGGTCTCCAAGAGAACTCGGTGTTCGTTGTGGCACACCATGTACGTCATCACAACAAAGAAAGCCGTAGATGTGTCCTCAAACATGTCTGCCAGCAGGAATAGTGACACAAATATGTCCGAAATTAGAGGGCGTGCACCCTTCATGTAAATCCTTCCCATGAGGTCCTCATCGGTGACCAAACCTAAAAGGCATAATGCTGCCTCAAATCGGCACGAAGAATAGGTGGATAGGCCAGCCCGAAGAAGTTGGTCTAACCAATTGCCCGGGTGGGCCGCAGATGCTATCATTTGGTTTCGCAGATGACGATTACGATGTGAGGAATGGAGAACCGACAGTGCCTTGAAACGAATACAGTGGCCCGCAACATGACGATACCTAAGAAGGTCAAGTGTCAGCCTATTAAGAGCATAATCCAGAGTCATTTTGTCAGTTTCTACAACCCAAGCATTACTTGGTCGAACTGACTGCCAGATACGCACCATCATGCTTACTAGGAGAGGGTGGTTCTTGTCCAACAGCTCCTCCATTTGGGTTATCATTGAGAAATGGAAGTTCTTCGGCGGAGGCAAGAATACACAACGGACAGGTATGCCGGATGGCTTTACCGCAAACCGGGTTTGGTCCACCTGCGGGGGTCGTATCCATTCGTGACAGTCTTTCTTACTACCTCTCGATTTCCGTGAAGCGTTGTGCAGTATTGCCTGGCGGAAGTAGGGATTCTGCCGCCGAGCAAGTCTACTGGCCGACACATTGTTTAACGTCGACTGATATGGAATCACTTCGGGTTGGGCTTTACGAAGCTTCTGCAGAAGTGCCGATAAACCCATGCTTGTGCCATCATCTTCCCTTAATTCCTTGTCGTCGAAGTCTTCTGGAGTTATTGAAGAGACAGGAAGAATGGTCTCTAAGAAGTAACGGGCTGCATCCCTTGGTAGCTTATTTCTATTACAATCAAAGAGAAATTTTTCCAAAATCACATTGGACGAGGCCTTAATAATAGGCTGATCTTCACGGAGGTTGATGTTGGGAATCAAAGGAAAGATTTCACGGTGAGCAGGTATCACTGTACCATTTTTACGAAGCAGAGTTTTGACCATTACAGGACAACCCTTAAGGACACCCTCCGTGGTCGCCTCGACAAGGCTTTCATCTATGCCACTGTCTGTGGATATGTCTGGGGAGTCGCCGTCTGGAGGATAAATTTGAGGCACTCGCTTTATCACCTCTCTCAAGAGGGTCCCGACAGGTAACGGATGTTCCTGGTCAAGGATATCAGAGCAGTACTTCCGTCGAAGAGTTTTAGCGTAGGGTATGAGGTCGTATGCATAACGGACGTTTATCAGTTGCCTCGAAAGTCCTTCTGTGTTCAGACCTCTCGGAAGATGTCCAAATCGTCTAACAGTGAGACGCCTGGTCCTCTTAGCTGGCGTTGGACGGTTTTGAGAACCCACCTAAAAAAAAAGGTGATAGTTTGTGGATGTTGGTGGACAGAATTTGAAGTAAACTAACTTACTATGCTAAATTCAGTCACTGTCGTTAAAAAAAGGTGAATCAGTGGATAGTTGCGGAGTCAGTCATCTTGAAATTCGATAGGAAATGCTGGAGTTAGCAGGGAGTCGATGGATAGACTCTGCATCCTGATGGATTCAATGTGCAACTTTACTGTGCTGGTCACGTTTGTCAATGTAGTTGGCCTGATTAGGAACTCACATTTTCCAACTATGACAGCTTCATGCTCAGCCTTTAATTGTCCATTTGAAATTACTTTCTAACACTTCCTACGTGATTCAGCATTGTGCAACACCTGCCACAATGCATCATTGTTATTTCAATACAAAATTCTGCTATATGAAGTAGGCACGTTAATCTACAAGCTGTGAGAACATACAGCTTCTTAGTGTTTCTGTGACATAAAACCCAACTTACTTCTAAGGTAATGGAGCTAACGTTTAGTGTGTCTTCGTCCCCGATGGAAACCCGAGGTTCCTGTTGCTCTTCGCCATTTCCTGTTTTAGCCTTTAATCTAGCTTGTCTCTTTTCTTCCTCTGTTCTAACTATAAATTCTCCTTCCTCATCCACTGAGATGTCGGTGTCAAAATCACTGGAAGAGTATTCACTGAGATTGTCATATTCATTATCTGGGGCAATGTATATGCCGTGTGTTTCTTCTTTCTGCTGATCAACGCCCTCTGTATGAGATGACGCATCTGAGGTATCAGAAATGCGCTGACCAAATTTAATGACATGTGGCACTGCATCACTAAATCGCGCCGCTGCAGCATCATTCTGTAAATCGACCAAGGGATCGTGAAAGATATCAAAATAGGCTTCAATAGACTCTATCTCCGCCAAACCAGGAGGAATGAAGAAGGAAGTGTGCGTAGAACCAGAGATCCAGAAGAAGTCGGCGGAGGATCGAGGTGTTGCTTTCGTCTCGATACTAGACTCAACAGTAAGGGTCTCTGTGTTAATAGTTGTCAGGTTGGTAAAGAAACGCTGCCAAGAGAGTGTGACTTCATTTCCACCGGATGTCCAGCGGTGGATTCCGATTGGCTCCTTGCCGAACCACTCACAGCAGATTGAGATATGCAATGAGGAGAGCCACTGTATGCGATGGTGCATATTCATGCCACTAATACCCTTACCAGATTTCTTTGTGGCATTCCACATACTTCGCATTGTAGAAGCTAAGATGATGAGATAGGGTTACATCAGTTCAGGTTGCAAACTTAACTATTTAATCTCAATCGATTTAAATTTATGGCCATTTGCCGAACAAATATCCCGTGAATCTTGCTTTGGAGAAACAGTTTAACTGTTAGCCTGCTTAATGTTTTTATTCGATTTAGAGATAATGATAAAAACACCGTCTTGAAGTGAATCTGTCACAAAGATTTGATTTGTTATTGTTCAACATTTCAGTGACATCTCGTCGACCAAGCCGGTCGTCCAAGGTAACTACATTGTAGACTTGTCGTCTGCAAACTAGCGAAGACATCCCGTTTTTCACCCCCTAATTTGCTTGGTAACTCAGCACTTTTGAAACTGCAAGAAACTTCGTTTGATTTTGTTCGGCTGCATTTGATCGCTGATCAATGTTCCTTTACGTTATTGGATATTTTGCTGATTAACTTCCTCAAGACTGCTACAAAAAATCAACCCGAGTTTGTGTTACCGCCGAAAAGACAATGTGTAAGTGGCTTTATACGGAAAAGGCTTTCAGATATATATGTTTTGTTGCTGCTTAAAGGTGAGGAAGCATGCGACAGATAGCCAGGGTTTGTTTGGGGTCCCGGTTTATGCATTAATTAACAGAGAAGGAACCAAATTTACGACTCATCTGGCAAAGGATGGAATTAAAAAGATTGAACAGAACAAACACACTTAAGCCCATAAAATTGGAGAGGGACTGACTTCACATTCAAGGACCCTAACTCCGTAAAAGTTCTGGTTGGACGAAACTCTTTACTGCATTACTATTTAAATTGTATCAATGACGACTTTTTATTGTGTCGCTTTCGTTTAGTAAGAAACCACAATTTTCCAGTTAAAATTTGAACTTTTGCAGCCACAAACTCGGTTGTTTAACGCCAAAATTTAGAAATTTGTAGCATTGCTGATTTTTTACACCATTTGCAATCAAACAAAACACGTAGATATACTTTGGTGACATCGGTAATGTAAGATTTAATGTAAAAATCTATCAACATGGCGAGTTCGCTATCAGACTGGCCACTTTGCCTGACAGCACTCCAAAACGTAGATTATGTATTAAATTTTTTGTTTAATACAAACTTAGCGTTTGATTCCTACAATGATACTAGGGTTTTAGAAAGTTAGCAATCGGTTGAATAGTCCGAAAAAAATTATGTGCCAATGGTGATGCTTTCAGTGTGGCAGTGCTTATTTTTATAGCCCATTCGCATTATAAAAAAAGCTATAGAAGTCATTGGTTGGATGAATAAGGCATCGATATGTTTGCATTAAAATTCAAAGGGATTTTAGCCTAGAATAATTAAGTATATCTCGCCTACAAACGTCATCATAGGTGAGAATGCGGCTTTTAAGAGCATATTCCTGACCAGTTTGAATACCAAAACTCCTCAACAGCTAGTTCACTATTCTTGGCACAACTTTTGATCCATGCCGTGAACAACATTTTTAACCACCAACGATGAAAACGCGTCTTACGTGTTGACGTCCCTTTATTGTCGGACATCTTAACTGTGCTCCCACCGAGGAATTCGTTTCGCAAAACGGATGCGTTTTCGTAAAAAAGCTCGTATGTGTCTCTTTCCATTCTCCACTCCTCGTCCATGTGACGTTTGGTTCGCGAGTACTGCTTTCCACTTGATTCTAGGAGCTTTTTGACTAACTCTTCGTAGGCGGAGGGTGCATGAAGACACCGCATTACCACTCTGGGGGATGCATTCTCGCTTTCTGTTAGTGATTGTCGTTGAGGCGGCTTCGTTCTTGGCTTCGGCACTGGCGCCCCATTTTTCTCCGTCGGAGTTTCAATTTTATTCAGCCCTTCATGTGTGTTCTGCGGTCCAACTTCCAGCATTGTATAACGATCTATACGTCAAACGGGCGGTCGAATGACCTTGAACGTTACTTCTGTCGATTACAGTTGAAAAATCAATTTCCGTCAGCGGCTAGCCGTGAGAGTTGTTTCCATCTTACTTTTAAAGACAGCAACCTAGCGGTTGGAATAGTTGCAGCTATTGCCCAATCTGTGCATTGACGAATAATCAACGTCACTCCCCAACGTTCAATTAACCCTAGCGGAGCACACTGAGGTTCAAGTGAGCGCCTACTTAGGCCACCATTACTTTAATGGAGAGTACCACAAGAGGAAACCGCCAGCCTGTTCCCCTTTACAATGCATTGGAAGTCTTGACTGCACAACTGCAGCCTTTGACTACGCCTCTCGATCCCGTTGATAAGTCTCAACGCATTGATATTCGTGCCTAATTTGAGCTTCTTTGACTTTTTACCAGCACCACTTGCAGTGTTTGGCGAAATTGACGGCTAGGAGCTTGGTCCCACTCTCAGCACTTACAAAATAATTAAACTATTTTCTATGGCCTGATCTTCCATCAGAGCATAGCTTATTGGTCCAGGCAGAAACAATCCCGAGCCCAAATCAAGGCGCGTCTGAGTTAATGGATGAAACCACACCACTTTAGGCGTCAAGGCATGCAGGCATTTTACCCACTTCCCTTCAATGACCAGCAACGAATTGAAAGTCACAATAAACAACCCTCGCAATAGACTGGTCACTTTAATAAAACAGAAAGATTGGCATTTTCGGTAAGACACACCATCGGCAGGAGCTCAATGCAACTGATGGGACTTACCAAAAAGCCTAGTGACTCGTAGTACCCCATCTCTAAAATTATAAACCAACAATAAAATAGACAAGAATGAAACTAACTTCAAACCAGAAAGCAGCAGCAGGTCTTTGATCAAGCACTGCAGCCATCAGCGGTGGCTTCCTCTGATTCGGCTAATTTTAACAGCTACCTAACACAGGCAATGTTAGTTGGGCATGGTTTACTTAAAGCTGTTTTTGGGGTGTCAAGTTATTTGATATTAGACGAAATTTTATCCGGGAGTCCACATACACACAGCAAAACCTCCCAAGAATCAAAGATTCGAAGCCCGAAATGTCAAAGGAAAGCTGCAGCACATCAAGACAAGATAAAAAATGATGGTTGAAGTCCAAATCTAAGGTAACAATATTTTCAGCCAACTATCGTCGGGAAAAAAGGAATCAGTATGAGTTTCTAGGCTCAATTAACGTTACAAATCGTTTAAAAATAAAGCACAGCAACACAGCGGGTGACTGTACATGTAAAAAACCACCTTTAATTCAGGTGGTGCGTATGGCAAAAACGGTGGGATTCAAGGATAAACGCAAAAAAACGTTGGAAGGAGGAAAGTGAGTTAAAATCCTCTTTGGGAGCTGCCAGTATCAAGCGGTTTCGGCTGTTGTTCGTAGGTGGACACGCCACCACCACCGTTACCGCGAATTGGACGCATGTCACCGTGATAACGGCCTTGGTCGGGGTACACACCCATTGGCAATCGCCTCCCGTAGGCTGGGGGCATCATTCCCGCTAAAATTTAAATGCAGTTAAGTAAAAAAAATAAGTCAGAACAGAATTAGCCCTCAGATCCACCGTTTAACATGGCGAACAAAAGACTGTAAGCGACTGTACAATACAGTTTAAAATCGCCATCCTCACGCGACACGACGCCCGTTTCGGCATACAAAACCGCGAGTGATAACTCAAAAGAGACAGGATCACCACACTTTTCCAGTCAATAAGTGACGATGGCAAAAGGTAGCTGGCAGACGGCAATTCCAGTGAAGAGGTTAGTAATAAAACTGCTCAGTTTTTAGGAAAGAACATTCTCACTACAGTCATCTAATGGGCCAAGAGTTAACAGTTCTAGCTAACGTATAGGACACAAAATCAATACGCCATAACCGGCTTTTAGACATGCTAGGCACGGCGAAGTCATGTCTAGTGAAAAATAACTGTACCCCAACCAGGAATAAGGATGTCAGTTTACCATAAACGAAGAACAATGATATTGCTAAACCCAGTGAGAACATCAACCACTAAGATACTAGAGTGAAAGACCAAATGACACAAAATTGTGTTGTTCAACTTACCTTGAACGGCTGCAAATGCCTCAGGATTATGTTGCTTTTGCTGGAGAAGAGCAGCCACTAGTGAGGGGTCGACGGATCGGCAGTACTCCAGCGTAGCAGCGTCAGGAGGGCCAGGTGTGCCAATTATTTGCTGCTGTTGTTGTTGTTGTTGTGATGGTTGTCGGTTTGCAGAATACCTCTTCCCAGCCTGCGGAGCTTGAAAATTGCGCTGAAGTGAGGG